CAATGCATATACTATTACTTATTTTACACCAGCAAATACATACAACATGTATATTTCCTCCGATGAGGCAATTTGTTAGTTGTCGTAAAAATGTGCGAAATTTTTCTTTTCAATTACTACGCTACATTTACATTCGCAAACAAATTCATTTAAGTGTGACTTATTTCACACTTTTAGTTAAAAGCTTGAAGGTTATTGTGGGTAAGGTTTCATTTTACTCCCTTTTTTGTGTGTATCCCAACTATAGTCTCTATATAGAAACAACCGCAGAATACGGCCCGTTAAGGTAGCAAAAAACGAAAAAGTGGGCGTGGGCCGCCCGTTTCTTCTGATCTTAATGATATACAAATTTTTTGGTGCAAGCTTATATTTTCGAGGCGATGCACAGTGCCGCGACTCCATACAAATGATGGACAAAAATAGAAGGAGTGGTCAGAATTGGCTGAAACTTCACACCTAGAAGTATTATGCCCCTCTAATTTCAAAAATGAAATCGGTTTTTCTATACCGGTTACTCATTTCGAGAAAACCGAGTTTTTTTTGCATTTTTATATGAAAATAGTCATTGTGGACATGTGTTGATATAAGTGGAAGGAGGCATCAGAATGGGCTGAAACTTTACACCTGAAAGGACTATATCACGGCAATTTAAGAAAAAAAAAACGTTTTTCAGCATCTCTTACCATTTAATTAAAAAAAAAATTTTTTTTACAATTTTATAAAAAGGCAAAATAACTCATAATCATCGTAGACATATGTTTATAAAAACCGAAATAGTATTCAGAACTTGTTGAAACTTTACACCTAAAAGGACTAAGCCATGCTTATTTCAAAAATGCAATCGATTTTTCGGTACCGGGTACCCATTAAAAAAAAAAAGATTTTTTTTTTACATTACTATATGAAAGACAAATAAGGCATAATCATTGCTGATTGTGGTGTTTACGAAAACAGGAAGGAGTCGTCAGAATTTATTGAAACTTTACATCTGAAGTGTCTATATTACTCTAATTTTAAGAAAGTAATCGGTTTTTTGTAACGGGTACCCATTAAAAAAACATCGAGTTTTTGCACATGATTATTTAAAAATGAAATATGCCATATCATTGTTGCTAAGTGTTCAGAAAAATAGTCTTAATAGTCAAAATTCGTCTAAACTTTACTTCCTAAGTGAATACATATGGTAATTTGAAAAATTAAGTCGGTTTTCCTTACATGTTAACCTTTAGAAAAAAAAATTCTTTTGATTTCATTTAAAATAAAGCATAATCACTGTTAAGTAAGTAAGTAATAATAGCTGTTATATGGTAATAACATATAATATGTTAATAAAAACCGAACTAGTTGTTATAATCACTCAGTTTCAGAGTCCTCAGAAGAGGAGGAAGTGATCACTGATTCAAATGATTCCATGCTTTTGTCTGCTTCGTCACTTTCAACAATGTATTTATTAAAGCTGAGATCAGAACCCTTTAAATATTTGTTTCTCTGTTTTATATTTCTTTTTGTAAACTGGTGTCATTGCTCTATATATATATATATATATATATATGTATATATATATATATGTAAATCTTCGTATACCTTTGTTTTTGGCTCCCATACCGTGATGCATATTTAAGTATTTTAATTAGCTGATAATTTTTTTCATTTCAAAGCACCCTGTACCTCTTAACTTTTGTTTTGGCACTTTTAGCTTTAATTCAACACCTTATTTTTGAAGAGCGAACCAAAAATTTAGATCTTAGGGCATTCAGAAAAAGTATTGTAAATATAGATCAGCTAAAATAATACCAAAAAAAGGCATTTAGTCACTTTTTCAAAATTGAAAATTTTCAAATATTGGAAAAAGTTGGAAGAGATTTCGATTGTTTCTGTTAGTAGAAGGTCCAAACTACCATAACCAAAAAAAAAATTTCACGAACTTTCAAGATGTTTTTTTTTTTTTGTCTCCAAAGGTTGCCAATTTTCGGATTTTGGTATGTTTAATCATATATTTATTTATTAATAAAAAACAAATATTTGTATAAATTTTTTTTCCATGAACCATACATTTTTTGGTTTGTCGCATATATCTTTATCAAAGTGCAAAAGTTGATCTTGCTAGGAATAAAAATGTATTTTTAACAAATTTTTAACTGCGACCACTTTTATGTGCGAATCGCCGAAATGAAATGGTATGTAGAAAATAGGTGTACTTTGAGGGGGTGTGTGAGGCTGAAAGTTGTTTTTATCACAAAATAACTTATGAACTTCTCTTAGTTGGAGATTTAGCTGTAACTTGACATCAAAACATCTAAGTTTCAAGACAGTCGATTTTTGTATTTTTGTCCACCTTCGCGGCACTGTGCGATGGTGGGGCAAAGGGGAATTTTCGAAAATTCAAAAAGGCGATATTTCGAATAATTCCCGACCGTATTTCAAAATATTTGTTTCATTGGAAAGATAAATAAAACCCTTAATATACTTTATGTAGATAAATTTTGGAAAAATCAATTAATAGAAAAAAAATTTATTTTTGAAAACAAACATGCTGTACTAAAAAAAGTGTAGGTAACCATACACAGGGCTATAATAGTTCAAACGAACATTAAAATATCTTTAATTTGGTATATATATTTTTATATAAACTATATTAAATCGTAGTATATCCGTGTAAAGTGGCAACAACTTACATTTTCTAACTAAAATTAAAAAGTTCATGTTCCTACGACATTGCAAAAATGTGTTAAAAAGCTAAAGAAGCCAGAGCCAAGTACAGGAATGCTTTCTGGTAAATTCCTGTAAATTCTTGCAACGTCATGCGAGTTAGGTAATGCCTTCGACAGGACTTAGGAATTACAACCCTTACAAAGTAGAATTCTCCTTTCTGTGTTGCCGGAAAAGAAGGGCGGCAATATTTTTGCGCAGAACTTATTTCTGCCACTGTCGTCTGTCTCGCTCAGCATATAAAGCAGTGTTTGCATTGTCCAACTTTGCGTTCAACTCTACGCAGGGTTGCACGAAAAAGTTTTGAATGGCTAAATGTTGGCTGGCGAACAACTTTGTTGAAAACGACCGTTCAACCAAAATTTGAATGGAAATTTGAACAATAGAAACGCTTTTTTATGGCATATATTTTGATATTTTTTTTTATAGATATTTTTAGCCATTCATCTCTTTTTTCGGGCAACCCTGCGTTGAATTGAATGCAAAGTTGAACAATGCATACAGTGCTTAAGCATCAGTATAGTCAATTCACTCTTCGTCAACAGCATAAGTAAAAGAAAATTTATCACGGTATTTAAATCTATCTGAATAGAATTACATATGGAATTAAAGGTCTTTTTATCCTCTATTTAACTATTATAGTGTGGTCTATGGTTATTTACCTACATATATATATTTTTTAGTAGAACTAGACTTTTTATCAAAAAATACATATTTTTTTTATTAAATTACTTTTCTAAAAATTTATGAACATAACTACTACTACTAACATACTAAGAAAAAGGGATTTTATTTACATACCTTTCCAACGATACCATTTTTTTGAAATTCGGTTCGGAATTTTTTGAAAAATAGCCTTTGGAAATTTTCGAAAATTTCCCCTTCGCCCATCTATAGCCCCGGAAATAGAAGTTTGCACCAAAAAAGCTTTATTTGTACGCTTAAAATCAGAAGAAAAGCTAGGACCACATCCACTTTTTCGTTTTGTTTTAGCTTAACGGACCGGAGTCTGCACTTATTCGCGCGTCTAAATATACCTTGACCGCGTCAATTTTAAAATTGGTAGTTGGTTAAAAGAGGCAAATTAGATAATGTCCTGGGCAGGACATAAAAGCGATTCTTTAACCAATATTTTATATAAGAATACACAGATTGCTTAGCTAAGCTAGACTAGCCAGAGATTTCACACATTTTTAGCAATATATGGCGGCCTCAACGGTTTAAACTTTAGTGCCAGTGGCACTCGCATGGGTTGCTCAACAAACTTATGTAGGTACATATGTATGTACATCTGTGTCCGATTTTTCATGTTTGAGGACTGTGGCCCTAAGCTCACCAAACCCTAACAAATAATAGAAATAAGACGCGTTGCAACTATGGTTGGTTTAATTCCCAAAAATATGCTTATGTATATTTTAATCTTAAATATTAAGGGATTCGCAAAGAAATCATTATTTTTAATGTTGCCACCTATTCCGCCGAATTTCCTAAGGTGAAATATACTGGGTAAGTACACATCGATTACTTTACGGAAGAAAATCTGTAAAGTAAAGAGCGTGTCAGACGTGGCAATGCAATATATTTCGAAAAGGCTGTAAAATTGAGAAATTTCAGAAAGCAGTTGCATGAGCAGTCACACCTTGCATGTAAAGTGTCTTTCGAAAGAGGTTTTCTATTTCCGAAAGGCGAATTGCAGATTGCTAGTGCAACACGAGCAAGTTGAAATATATTTCCGAAATCGATTTGCGCGCTTTGAGTTGCCGTCGCACCTTACAACTTTCATTTCTGAAACTGATTTCCGAAAAGTGTCTTTCTGGATGTTCACACATGGAAATAAAATTTCTCTTTCTCAATTTGACAGTGAATTGCGTGGAAAAGTTGGAAATATTGCCAATCTGACACGCTCTTAACAATAGTAAGTAATGTTGCGCTGGGAGGAAACATTTGGATATTGCCTTCTTTGCGAGTTCGTGTAAATCACTTTAAAGGATTTTCTTTGACAATTCGTAAAATAGTTTTACAGAATTTGGAAACATTTCCGATACTCGTAAAGATTTCCTTAAGACTTTGGATATTTTGGTTTGCAGGGTATGTATTATCGAATTACAATTTTATAATTAATTAAATAACCAAGAATGTTTTGAAAAGATTTTCTGAGGATTTTTTGTGTGTTGGAAATTTAGCAGTTAGCATGCATTTCTAATATCTCCCCCCCGCCCCCTCTTTTGCAACCTACATTCAAAACACCACAATTAATAGGCAGTGGAATATTTGCGTAGGTACTCACTCACCTTGACTTGCATATGAAACCTCAGCCTGCAGGAGCAACGATGCCAAAATTACAAATACAACCAAATTCAATTGCAGCAGCTGCTGCCGCTGACACTTTGTTTGTTTCCATTTCTGTGGCCACACGCTGCCACCCGAGCGTGGAGACCACATTTTTACAACTTACAAATGTTGCCGAGACTCCTGTGGTGCGCAATCGATTGGCGCCCCGCTGACGCTTGTCCGGATTGTAATATGAATCCCCTTTGATTTTAATCCGTTTTTGGCAAACTTTGTATGCTTCTTTTATTTTATGATTTTTCAACATTTGCAATATAACACGGGTGTGACATTTTTAACACTTTTCGCACTTTTTTCACACTTTGACAAATACGCTTTGAATGTGTGTACTCAAAGAAGCTGGAACAGGAGTCGGGGAAGTGGTGTATGTGGATTGATATTCGAAAAGTAATTAAATTTGTTTAGAAGAAAAATTTGCAGTTTGTTATCAGTGGCATGAATGAATTTATGGCTTTGCCGGCTTTTGGCCGACACACACACCCGCACTCATAATTCTACTATTATTAAACAATTCACATTCGCACATCGACTTTTATTGTTGTACTTTTTTGTTTCGAATAAACAAAATGCACTTTAAAGCGAAACAAAAACAAATTTCGGACTGATAAGCACTTCCTGAACGTTTGCAATTTGTTATGTTTATCTCACTCTGGCGAATGCCGGTCGCCCGCAACACTTCCGCCTGTTGTGCTTTTCTATCAA